GCGACGAAGGTCACCAGCGCCACCGCTGCAGAAGGGAGCCACTTCAATGGGGGCCTGCAGATGTAGAGAGTACAAGATCGTATACTACATATACTACCAGTACAGCAGAACAAAATGAACTACTACTACTACTACTACTACTACTACTACTACTACTACTACTACTACTACTACTGCTACTACTACTACTACTACTACTACTACTACTACTCCAAGAAGCTATAATGAACTATAGGGAAACCACCCGTGGAGTCCTCAGGATCCTGATTCAGCAATAATCGAAACAGGCGCAAGATGCTTGTAATCATAAGAACCATGATGATCATGTTGAGCAGCATGATATTAAAACCAAAAGTGATAGAAGACTTGTAATAACCATAGTAATAATGATGATGACAGTAGCAGCAATAGTAGCAGCAGCAGCAACAGGAGTAGGAGTAGGAGTAGGAGTAGGAGTAGGAGTAGGAGTAGGAGTAGGAGTAGGAGTAGGAGTAGGAGTAGGAGTAGGAGTAGGAGTAGGAGCAGGAGCAGGAGCAGGAGCAGGAGCAGGAGTAGGAGTAGTAGCAGCAGCAGTAGTAGTAGCAGCAGCAGCAGCAGTAGTAGTAGTAGTGGTGGTAGTTCTACAAGACTTCGAGCATGCTGCTCAGGATCTCACCTCCAAGCTCGCCCACCCAGGTTACTCTTTCTAAGCTCTGCAAAACCTAACTTCCCCTATACAATCCTAAACCCTAAAGCTACAGCCCAGCCTTGCAGTGATAACCACCTTGTTGTAGTAGGTCGCCAGGTATGCCTCATAGCCACACCAAAGGCGTGAGTAGATGCTGCAAACCTGCGCAAGGCTCTGCCTCAAAGCGTACCATGGGCTTAAGGGAAATTGCTGTCTGTCAGTATCTGCAGTACACGCTCTATACAGCTTACTATAGAGCACACAAAATGTAGCATACCGTGCCTGCGTGGGCACCGCCAGCATGTGACTCGCATTCTGCAAAGCCAGTGCAAAGGGCGAGGTGCGGGGCACAGCGATGAGGCGACTGATGTAGCCTCAGCTGCTATTGCGTCAAATTTCTTAGGGTTTCGGGGTTACTATTAGGGTTTAGGGTTTAGGGTTTAGGCCTTCAGCTGCTATTGTGTTAAGCCTTAAGGTTTCGGGTTTCGGTTTTTAGGGCATCGGGACGTGCGCATAGCAACAGGGCCTGAGACATGTTGTGACCGTAGACGCCCCAGAAGCACAAAAAAAAACGAATCAAGTTCCTACAGCCTAAACCTTCAACACCTCTCAACCCCCCAACTCCCCCCGACTCTAAGCCCTTAAAGCCCTGACTCATCCCAGAAGCGGGGAAGGCTCTGCGGCATGGCAAGGACGCAGCACCAGGCAGCTCTCTTTCCCCTTGGCCAACTTGCAAGGACTTTGTCAATAAACTCAAAGGCACCCTCCTGGGCTTAGAGCCGTTTAGCCTTCAGGGCTTATGGTTCAAGGCCTCCGCGTGCAGGAACTTCTGGGGCAGGTCAGTTGCTTGTTGCTTGGAGTTGAGATATTCACATCAGGGTTCGCATGAACTAGAACCCTGCCGACGTACCCCGGCAGGTAGTCACACTGCACGATGAAGTGCCGTGGCCCGTGCTCCCTACAGCAACCCAGCAGACGACCACATGTTCGAGTGTGCCACCTCTAGTATACTACAGTCAAAGAGATAGTATACACTATGATCGTAGAGTACTGCATATGATATAAAATCGCACATTCTGAAGCCCTCCTGTACATTGCACCCCTTGAGTCCTGCCAGGCATGGGTGATGAAGAGGTCGCATGGAAGTCCCTCCGGATTTCGGAGTAGAGCCCAGCTCATCCTTCTGGTTCTTAGTAGGGCATTGGGGGGACTGTTTAGGGTTCCTTTCAAGGGATCGGTAACGGATCCTATAAATGGATCTATAAAGGGTCCTTTCCTGTTTGGTTCTTAATAGGGAATAGGGAGGATGGATTATGGAGACTATCACGGGGGATTTTGTCGGGACTACTATAGGAAGCACCTGAGTGGGAGCTTCCAGGTAGTCAAACCCTAAGCCTTAGCATAAGACAAGAGATGGTGGTTGCGTTCTCAAGAACAGATTCTACAATGACAATGTTGAAATAGTGTAGCATACAGGAACAGAACTTTGTTTACGTAGATAAAGTTTGCTCAGCAACCTCTGACGGAGGCAGTTGGGCTGTAGTGACTCGATCTGGCAAGAAAGAACCACAACCGACCCACGTCCTGCCAGCATCCAGAGTCAGAGGCTTGATGTAGTTGTCGGTCAAGTTGTACATGTTGGGGCCAATTGTTTCATCCTCAGGAGTGAAGGGATCGGGCCGCTCGTCATCGAAGACCGGCTGAATAATCGGCATGACCATGTGCTGGTCGATGGCCTGGCGGACTTCCTGCCGAAGGAAGCGTAGGTCCTGCGGCGTCACACACCACATGCTGGGCGGAAGCTTCTGGTGCAAAGCTCTGCCGTCGAGGCCCCATCCAGGGAAATTGGGGTCAGAGTTACCATCGCCCATTGCAGAGGCAAGCCAAGGTCTGAGGCCAGGGATATGGCTCTCTTGGCTGGCGGCGGATTGCAATTGCAAGCAACGATAGAAACAGCGAGGCCTGGGGTCGAGGAGCCAGCACGAAGTGTAGCCAATAGCCCCTGAACCCTAAACCAAAAATCCCTCAACCCCAAACCCTAAACCCCCAGCCTTTTTATTATGCCTGTTAACCACTAAGCCCCTGAACCCTAAACCCGTAAATCCCCCGCGAGAAGGGTTCTATAAGGTTGCTTTCAGTGTTTAGGGCTGAAGTGCTTGGGGTGGTTTCGGTGGAAAGGTTTGTTCTCTCTCTCTCTTTCTCTCTCTGTGCAGGAGCGGGAGAAGGGCCGCTGCAAAGAGACAGCGAGACAGCGAGACAGAGAGGGTCAAGAGTCGAGGCCTTAGCATCCACCGACCGCGTCAGCGTCGCCGAGGCCGACTTCGTCAAGACCGTCTTCCTTGAGAGTCTGAAAGAATGGGGTCCACATGGAGTTTTGACCTTTCGCATTTAGTATAGTAATCTTTAGGAATCCTATAAATCTGGAGATATTGGGGGTGCAATGGGCTGCATTCCGAACCGCAGACTCCCGCAGACCCCTTACAGGCAAGTTTTGGGTTCAAGGTTTACATGTAGGATCAGGGTACTCAATAGCTAGGGCGATGGAGACGCAACTACCATGAACATGATTTTGAGCATCAATCAGGTAATCATGAGCCATCCAAATAAGGTTTGGCGGTATCATTGGGCCAAAAGCACTGGAACTTCTCAAGAGCAGCAAGGGTTTAAGCTTTAAGAGTTCAGGTCAGGGATGAGGGTATTTGGGATTAGGTTCCAGGACCACGAAGGGTTGGTGTTTCCCGGGCTATAAGTTACAAGTGCCCTCGTCGAGGTAGCTTCTATAGAACACTGAGAAGCTACGCCACAAGTACTGCGAAGAACCTATGGAGTAAGGCGTGAACTTAGGGGTGGTTCAGGCAAACAGGGTCTGCAAGGAGCTCAGTTTTGGGCTTCTCTGGCTCGGGAGTTTCGCGGCTCCCGAAGGCAGAAGGCGACATTTGGTGGCTCGTTTCTTGCCGCCGCCACATGCTGTTCAGTGTGAAGTGTTCGCGGCGTCGCGCGGTGCAAACCCCAAAACTCTTGAAACCGACACCTAAATCCGAAAAGAGTGCTTTGGGCTTCAGATCTGGAGTGTCCATGCTCCACATCATACTCAAAGGATCACGGGATTGAGTGACCATAGACTAGGGTCCTGTCCCTGGCAACGAAACTTTTCCATGGAGGTGATAGCAACGCTAAACCCCAAACCCGGGAGAACAAACATCATATTGCCAGCCGGAGGCTTGGTCAGAGACGGCACTGCCTGGCATGTGAAGGAGTTGTGCTTTCAAGAGTGAAGGTGTAGGGGCTCTACTGTCAGGAGACCGGATGTAATTGAAGCCATCCAGACATGGGTGCTAAACTGCAGGGCGCCTCTGAGAGCACTTGATATGCACGACCGTGTGCAATTGCTACACTATACTACACTTGTCTTTTAAAGCTGACACACACAGAAACCCATGAGGACAGGGACACAACCCGTGAACCCTACAATGAGGCCTACAATACAACACCCACAGAAACCAAGACAAATCCGCAAAGCTTTGACAGCGTAATGGACTGGAGGCCCCTGCCTCCAGCACTATGGTTATTCTTAAGGTTTAGGGCTTACGGCTTAGGGCTTAGTAAGTTGCGGGTTTAGGGTTTATAAGGGCTTAGGGTTACTATGGCGAGGGCGTGTAGCTGCTCCGAGCTTCAAGGTTGCTTCACGGTCGGAGTTCGTTGAATCCATGCTGAACAAAATAACCCTTTTTTTGTCTCGAATCCTCAGCGCCATCCCAAAACTCACGTCCACCCTCTGACTCCGGCAAGCCTAAATTTCAACCCTGACCCGAAGTCCGAAACCCCGCCCTCCTTGCGAACTCCGACTCCCCAGTGGCCCAGAATTCCCCACATCCGCGCCTGTACGGTCTGAGCTGTACCTGAAACCTCGCCGGATTCCGGGGGGCACCCGCTTTCCGTGGCGAGCTCTTCAAGAACGCGGAGCGTACCCCGGGCGGAGAACTAACTTTGCCCGCCCAAGGTATTGCACCACAGCGGAGAATACCTTAAAGCCAAAAAGCAAAGCTATATGTAATGCCTCTTATATGACACTACGGTTTTTCGGAACTTATGGAATGCCACTCGAGTTGGATGTAAGCCGCAAGCTCCAAGCTCCGGCAATTCTGGGGCTCCAGTCTCCGTGGTTGCCAATTGCCCTTGAACTTTCGCTTGCCACTTGCTGCAAGCAAGGGAAATCTCACTACTTTAGGGGCCATAATTGGTAGAGTGGGGCTTTGGGTGGGTATATTCTGCGATAGTTTAGTAAGGAACCCCCAAATAGTAAGTATAGGTAATGATTAAGGCCCCTAGCGTACTAAGTCCAGTTGGCAGATTCTCGCCAGCTCGACTTCTGCACAAAGACGACTCCCGCATGAATGCATCGTGTGTTCGGAAACGGCATACTGCCAGCTGTCCAGGCAGGACGTCCTGGACCCCAGTACTCACAATCATGCAAAACTTCGGGAATTGAGCGCTCCTCTTCAGGTATCGTGATGCACTCCTCCTCACTGTCCGGGCCGCCCCAAACATGGCTGTCTGCATCCTCGTCCAGCCTCAAGCCTGTACCTCCCATGACGAGAACATCACCGGCTGCACCTCCCAGAACCACGGGCCGCATCCTTGGTTTCAACAGGGGAGGAAGCTGACACCACGTCCCTGATGCCAAATCGAATGCCTCGACGGTGTCCAGAAGGTAATGGCGTCCACTGATGAGGTCAAACTCTGAGCATTCCGTCCCGCCGCAAACAAGGAGCTTTCCTCCCACGCCGGCAGCAGTACAACCCCAACGTGCAGTTAGCATCGGCGGAATCGCATCCCAGGTCCCTGTTACGACATCAAAGCATTCCGCCTCACGGACTGGTGTGCTTTCATCATCGTACTCGTCGTAAGCATCCACTATGCCTCCGCAAGCGTAGATTCCGCGGCTCACAGCGGCTCTGGCGAAACCACGGGTCTTGTGCTGTCTACCGGGCCACTTAGTCCACTGCACAGCCTCAGAATCACCACTTTCACGTGAACTTCCTGAACTTCCAGCCACATCAGGCTTGGGTAAGGGTGTGGAGTGCAAGACGGGCGCAGAGTCAGACATCAAGTACAGCCTGCCGTGTGCAGGCGCTGCCAGCAGGACTGTAACTGCATCGAGCTCCCGATCCGGCAAGCTCTCCAAGGAGGCAAAGCGGCTCCACTTCAGGGACCCAAAGTCGAGTCGATGGATCTCCGCGGCCTTTTCGGGAGGCTCTCGCACTCCGAGGACGTACATCGAACTGCCGGCAAAAGTGACGCTCTTGCTCTCGTACGGGCGAGTTGGGCACTGAATTCTCCTCAGTGTGTTGGAGAACGAGATGCCTTCCTCCTGACAGGATCACGCAACTCTCTCTTTTTGAGACCTTCCTATCACACAAGCAAAAGTGCACTGGATACAGAACCTGATGGCCATCCTCTTCTTGCGAACTAGAGACACGTGCGCGCATGCAAGCAACAGCAACGAGGACGAGCACCAACATGCGGAACTGCAGCCCACTGTGCAAACAGAGGTCCTGAGCCACCCCAAGCTGTGGCAGGTTGGTGAGAAGCAGATCAGCTGCAACGTCTCCGTCTTCGTTTCTCAGGCCCGCAATGCAGATCTTCGGGTCAAACTCGGCCCTGAACCGATCACTTCTCGACCTGCAGGTCCTGCTCAGAAGCCGCGACGGAGGGCAGCTGCCTGCGAGCTCGGCCACGATGGCAAGCAAGCCAGGAGGCAGCTCATGCAACCGAGGCATCAGGGGCGCATGTGCGCGCCGGAAAGGTCGGAGAGCGCTTTCCACAAAGGGCTTTGGGGGGGGGGCTCATCGAGGTTTCAGGTCCAGGGCTTAGCGACGTTTTTTTGGGGGGGTTTTGAGGGGAGTTCTTGAAAGTTCGGTTTCGGTTTCGTCGTGAGCGATTAGCCAGGGCAGCATTTTTTGGCTTCCATAATATGATTCTACGATTCCTCAGTTCCTCAACAAAAATTGGTTTAGGTTTCGAAGCAACCCGGAAATGCACTCGTGCGCATGTCTATGCGCCCAGCAGCAGAGTGTCTGTGCATTCTATCCACGATGATGGCCGCACGTTGCAGAAACTCGGAGCTCCGAGCCCTGACAGCAGCTCATGCGGGGCAACCAGCAGCAAAAGCTATAGAACTTTACAAAGCCCTCTGGGACAAACTAGAGCCCCCCCAGCCCTGCAGACCCTAAACCCTAAACCCTCAACTGCCCTAAACCCTGAACCCTAAACCCTAAACCCCTAAAACCCTAAGCCCTGACCCTCCGGCAGAAATGCCACCTGCACCGACGGCTTCTGCGCCGCCGACGCGCCCGTCACAGGCGAAATCGCCGGGGCCGTGTGGCGAGGCCGGCGCAGCTGGATCTGAAGCAAAAAAACAGCTGTTTCGGGTTCAGTGGTCAGAATTCAAGGTTTAGGAACTAGAGCTTTAGATTCAGGTTTTGGAGTAGATTATGTGGAAATTACATAGGGACTCGACCCGTTTTGCCAGGTGTGAAGCTGCTGGAAGCACTTTCTAGGAAGAGCCGTCGTGCCTCGTTTAAGGGTTCAGTTACCCGCTGTTGAATGCAAGGTCGGGTTTGTTGAAGGTTTTGCCGGCAAAGGTCTCACAAGTGTTTTTGATACAGTGCTCATAGTTCAAGGATTGACAAATGGTTCGGCTGGCCTTTGCGCGACAGACTGACAGACTGACAGAGAGAGAGAGGGAGAACGAGAGAGAAGGAGAGAGAGAGAGAGAGAGGGAGCGCGTGCGTGCGCCTTGAAGCATTGAGGACTGAATGGCTCAGGGTTCGAAGGTTGTGGCTTTAAAAGAGTTGAAAAAGAGCTCTCCGAGCATCTAAGGTTTAGCAAAGCCGGTGCTCGCTAGCCTCTGCTCGCCTTGCAGATACTTTTGGCCAGGGGTCGCAAAAAGCTTGCACATCTCTACCCTAAACTACACCCCAAAACCCTCAGCCCCCAAACCAGATCGAAAACCTCAACCCATTCCTGGCGCCAAGGAGACCTGGGAACAAGGCCTTCGAAATCCACAGCCGAGCAAATGCCTTTCCTTGGCCAAGACCACGAAACCCGGAGCTCGAAACCCAATTGCTCCTCAAGATAAGTCTGATAATAACAAAGGTCAGTATAATAGTCAGAATAACAGTGCAAAAAGTTCAAGTTTCAGTAAATGTACTGCGAAACATAGCAATAGTAATTGTAATTGTCATCGAACTAGCAATCGAAATAGCAATCGCAATAGCGCAATAGCAGTAGTGATGACGAGTACTTCAAAAACATAGGACATAGGCCTTGGGAGATGGGACATTGGCAGCCGGCTTTGCGGTGCCAACCATCGGTTTCGCCGGGGTCTCAGGAGCAAATGCATGCACGATGGGTTTGGAGCCTAAGTTTGGGGCTTTAGGGTTTGAGGGTTTCGAGTTTTCGGTGGAGGGTTAAGTTGTGCAGTTGGTGTGTCTGTCGCCATGGGAAACGAAGGTTCTAGGGGTTCCAGGGCTTGGCACGCTGCGACTTCGACCGGAATCTAGGGACTACACGCCAGGGTAAGCACAACACACAAGCCCTAAACTCTATGAGCCTTAAGCATGCAACACTTCCACAGTCACCGATGGCAAGCATAAATCGGGTAAAGTCTTTCTCATCCGTTTGCCAACAGGGTTCGATCTGTAGAACAAGATTTGAGTTCGATTCAAGGCCGCAGCCTCGGGCTTGCGGGTAAGGAATCTGAACACTCGATCTGAGACATCTTCGCACGTAGAAGGTGATAACGAACTTTGCTAAGCAAACTCATCATTGTCACCCATGTGATCCTTGTAACCAATAGCAGTGGTGAAAATGGCAAAGGCGATTGTAGCAACGGTAATGCCTCCGTGCAGACGTGCATGTTCTTACCCAGCAGAGCGCAGAGTCCGGAGTCATTGTCACTGAAAGCTATCCCAAAACCAAACTTACACTGAAAATTATCCCAAAACCACACAGTTCGAACTGTTACCAACTACGGCGCTTATCTTACATCCTATAAACCCCGATTCTCAATGTGAAGGCCCTTATCTCACACACAATGTTATAAGGCCCACTAAAGTCCCATAAATCATTCCTAGTCCATGCCTTGGGCTTACATACATGCAAGATGCTATCCAAGGATGACAAATTTCAGTTGCCGGGCCTTCCGTGTGACGCCTACTGGAGACTTCTTGGGCGTGCCCTTGCCGGGCCGCCCAGGCGCAACCAGGAGCGGCCTGAGGGTGCAGGGATTTAGGGGGTTTTTTGGGGGTTTGAGGGGTTTAGGGGCTCAGGGGTTCAGGGTTGAGGGTTTAAGGGCGTTCAGGGTTTAGGGTTTAGTGCATGTAGGCTTGCAGGGGCTTAGGGCTTCAGGCTTCAGCGTATCGCCCTAGTACCCTACAGCAATGCCCCCGAAACCGAAGCCCCTATAGGCCCTATATCCCTCCTGATACCATACAGACCTGAGGCCCTAATACCCCAAACCCGCTCCCTCAGCCACAGATTCACTTTGGCTTTGACAATTTCTTTTACATAGGGGTTCCCAGGCTCTTTCAAGGGTTTGGCAGGGACTGTTGATGTAAAGGCCGTAGGCCCTTAAAAAAGGCTTTGAGCAAGTCCCTGCGTTGAACTGTTAAAACCCTGAACAAGAGAGAGCTCAGGGCTTCGGCTTTATTCCAGAGTTTACGGCTATGGTTGAGGGTTTAGGGCTTCAAGGCGTAGCTTCATTGATTTTAAGACGAAGCACCAAAACCCTGAGAAACTCCAAACCCCAATGCTCTGAACCGTCAGTAACTCTCGGATGGATCCGAAGCTTTCAGCGACAACTCATCGGGGACAGACCTTGCTTGAAACCCTGCGGGGACTTGGGAAAGGTAGGGTTCGAAGTGGGCCTTGTGCATGGTTACTTGCCCGGCTTGCCTCCGGGTCAAAATTTCCCAGGGCCACCAGCTAATCCCAAATGCCCTTGAAGTTAGCCCTACTTCGACGAACTGTTGACTTAGCACATCATCTAAGAACCTTTGTTCTACTATACAGGAGCCGTCGTAGAAAGCCCAACACAACTGCGCTTGAGGCCCATGCTTGGGCAGCACCCAGGTCCCCACCGAGGGGAGGAAGCGCCATTTCGCGGTGGCCTTGCTGACCGTAGAGGAAAGACCCCGCCGACTCTTGGGGTGCACGGCCGGTCTGGGGTTGCAGGCCTTGCGCTTTAGGGTTTAGGGTTTAGGGGTTTTGGGGCTTAGGGGGTTTCGGGTTTAGGGATTAAGGATTTAAGGGGTTTTGGGGTTTTGGTTTAGATTTGGGGTTACGCCTGGTGAGCCCGATCGAGCGTGCGACAGCCACTCCTAAAAACCATCGCGGAACCAGACACGACAACCCAGAGCCGACAGAACTTCCTCAGAGCACCGACCAAAGCCTGAAGGAAACAGGCTTGGTCATCTGAATCTCCAGACAAATCTAGAAGACCCCGTTGATATCTCCCATGTTCAAGGGCAGAAATGTCTATCAAGGCTTGCGGCTGCCGGCGCCGAAAAGTGCATGGAGGCTTTCGAAACTGTTCCAGCTTTCGGGTTCAGTGTTGAGGTGCCCTAAACCCTAGAGGCTCCTGGTTGAGAGCTTCGGGCCCTTGCCCTTCAACGCTGAAGCTCTACGCCCGCAACTCTGAAGCCTTGAATCCGAAAAAGTAACTTCACCGAGAACGCGACTGCCACGGCTTCTGCATTCGCCTGGAATTACTGACTCATCGGGTCCCACGAAGGGGTCTTGATAAGCAGACAAGGATTGTTGGGGCGTTCGTGTTGCCTTCCCGCCCTCCCTGCCAACCCCCCCCCCCCCCGTACCCTCCTTTAGGGGACTGCATCGACAGCTTCTTGGGAAAATAGCTTTTCAAACACTAAACCCTGGGCTCCAAAAACAACCCTACAGCCTATAGCAAAAACAGCTCTCTCTGCTCAAAAACCCAAGGCCTCAAACAACAGGAAAACAAACGGAACGGCAACAACAATCTTAGTTGCCTGCTCCCCAAACACCACTGAACGTTCTCATCATCATGCCAGGATTAGGCAACTCCCAAAAACTATGAAGCTTACCTACTCGCACCCGAGACTTCAGACATGCTTGAGTCAGCAAGCCCCTATAGCCCTAAACCCTAAACCCTGGAATGCCCTGCAAAAGCACTCATCCCTTACCTATGTGTTTGAAGGGCCATACGGGATATTGCCGCAAACCCTTCGACGCTGAACCCTACCCCATGCTTTTAATAACTTTTTGCATGCATATGAAGATGGGTGAGCAAAAATGATATGTATCCATTTTGTCCATCCTAATTTGAATTATTCATTTTCCCTTCAAGCCCTAAACCCCTAAACCCCTAAACCCCTAAACCCGTAAACCCTAAACCCCTAAACCCCTAAACCCTAAACCCCTAAACCCTAAACCCCTAAACCCTAAACCCCAAAACCCCAAAACCCCTGAACCCCTAAACCCTAAACCCTAAGCAATCCTTACTAAGGCCCCCCCCCTTTTCCCCAAAAACCCTCAGAGCCAGAGTCAAGGCCTCAGGAGCCTTGGCGAAGCGCTGGATCGTCCACAGTGTCGCGGCACCAAGTGCCTTTTGTTTGGGGATTTAGGGTTTTTGGGGGTTTTGGGTTTTGGGGATTTAGGGGGTTTAGGGGGTTTAGGGGGTTTTGGGGTTTTGGGGTTTTGGGGTTTTGGGGTTTAGGGGTTTTGGGGTTAAGGGGTA